GCAGCAGATCATGGAAAGACCTCTAGAGCCCTGATTCAAGTTGAAATCAACAAATGTGGGATCTAGTCCTGGCTTTACCACCATACTGGACACAAACGTTGAACAAGTCATATAACCTCTCTGAGCCATATCTGTAAAATAAAGCTAAAAATACCTTTTACAAGAAGTTACAAGATTTACTTGATATTTGTAAAAATGCTTTGGAAATGGTTAAATGCTATTTAAAAAAAAAATCATTTCATATGGTTGTGCAATTTCTGCCCTCCCAAAGCAAAGTGCCAGTGGGTGCTTCTTTTTATCACTGGAGCCAAAACAAGCACAAAAAATTACCCACTTCTTCACAATTCTGAGCCGAGAAAAACCTTGCTTAATGCTATTTTGAGAATGCTTCTTCATAGTTATCTCAGGACAAATTTCTCCATATTAAATTGAGTCTAGCCTTCCTTTAGCTCCCTGAAGCCTGGAGGAGTCTAGTGATGTCTTTGTATGAGAGTATATCTATGAGGGGAATGGAGAGAAAGATGAAGTGAAAGAGACAGGGCAAGCCACAGAGCTGATGCCAAAACACCTCCAGAGTGAAAATGATGGAAAGGCCTCAGGTTTTGGAGTAAGAAAGATGTTAAGTTTAGTCCTGGTTCTGACACTTACTTAACTGGGCAAGCCACTCTTTCAGTCAGATTTTCATCTGCTAAGTGAGGAATAATACTATCTACTTCAGAGGGATATTCTGATAATTAAAAGAGAGAAGGTATGTAAAGCACCTGGCACTAAAAGATGCTTAATAAATAATAGCAGGATAAGTTAAAAAACAACAACAACAACTCCCCCCAAACAAAAAACTCAAGACATCTATCCACACCTATTCAAACCTGAAGGCTTATCCTTTAATAGCAATGGCTCTTAGCTAGAAAGAACTTTGCCCCTCAGGAGACATTTGACACTATCTGGAGACATTTCTGACTGTCACTACTGCCTTCCAGTGAGTGGGTAGAGGCCAAGGATATACCTTACAATGCACAGTACAGTCTCCCACAATAAGTAATTCTCCAGCCCAAAACAGTAGTAGTGTTAAGACTCTCAGTAGGCATTCTTAGGTACTCAATCAGAGTAAGCCACATCACCTCTCTTAGCCTTAATTTCCTCACCAGCAATATGGGAATAATTGATCTGTGTGTCCTACATCACCAAGCTATTGGCAGGATCAAATGAAATAATGAGTAAGCAGCATTATCATCATTATGCCATTCACAGGGTATGCAAAAGCACCCACTTGCGCGACAAAGGCAGAAGCATTGATATATTGGGGGTGGGGGGTGGCGCTAACTGGGGTGGAATTCTTTGTTTGGGAATGCCCCATCCAAAGAGGACCTCTTGCTAATCTACTTCTATAAAGCTTCACTGGAGCAGGGGACTCTCATGCACAATGACTGGATAGGAGCACTTCTTAGGGAGAGAGAGAGCATGGGAAGTGGGTAGAACAGCACAGGACTATCAAAGAGGAGCTAACAGATGTTATGAAGTGAGGCATCTTGCTGTGTCCTCAAAAAAGTAGCCATCCCCCCCCCCCCTTCCTCTTCTTAAAAGGCCACCAATCCTACTGAAAGAGGGCTATCCTCTTTAGACCTCATGTAACCTTCATTACCTCCTTAAAGGCCCAATCTTCAATAAAGTCAATGGGGGTGTGGGCTTCACCATATGGATTTGGGTAAGAGGGGCACAATTCTGTCCACAGAACTCGGGCACACATCAGGCATAACCAAGGCATCACAGAGAGGAGGATCCAGAATTTAATTCAATACTTTCTATGGTAACAATCTCTTTTCCATATACTTTCTCTATGAGCTATCCAGTCAATCCTGCAATCCTTTTGTACAGGTGCCTCTTCAGACATCCTGTGGACTTCCAGAGTTAGGAAAGGGTCCTCCTCTTATTTGTGTCCCAGTCCCATTATCGGTGTTTCCCAAAGTGCGGTACACGTATCCCCAGGGTTACGGGAAGAGTTTGGTGGGGGTAGGCGTTGCACCGGAGTTTGGTGGGGATACGCACTGCACCGTGCTTAGCTGCGCCTAATTCTACGTTCTCATGAGTACGAGGGGTACTCAGTGTTACAAAAATTATAAAGGGGTGCACATATGTCAAAAGTTTGGGAAACACTGCTTTAGGTCATGGCTTTCCTACATTGGCTAATCACTTTAGGTTCGGTTCTTAATGATGGGAGTTTTTTCTTTTCCTTTTATTTTAATCCTCAACTGAGGATATGTTTTTATTTATTTATTTATTTATTTATTTATTTATTTATTTATTTATTTATTTTAGAGAGGAAAGGGAAGAAAGAGAGAGAGAAATAATACTATCTACTTCAGTTGCCTCCAGTATGTATCCCAACTGGGGTTTGAACGTGAAACCTACGTATGTGCCCTGACCAGGAATCAAACCCGAAACCATACGGTGCACAGGATGGCACTTCAACTAACCGAGCCACTGGGCAAGGCAATGATGGGAGTTTTGATAAAGCTCAACCACACCCAGAACAATTCAATCAGAACCTTTGAAGGTAGGGCTAACACACTGATAATTTTTAAATCTCCCCAAGTAATCCCAACAAGCAGAACACTGATCACAGAGGTGTATGTGTGTGTGTCCCATTCTCCTCCCCTCAGATTCCAATTTCGTTGGTGTAGAGTGGAACCCAGCAATCTGTATTTTTAAACAATTCCCCAGTTGATTCTGGTGATCAGCCAGATTTAGGATAGATTACGATCTTCCAGAAGCTAACTTGACTACCTACCTGCCATGTAACTGTTCATTTCTGTGGCTATGCATACACTTTACAGAATATATTTTTTTAAAATATATTTTATTGATATTTTACAGAGAGGAAGAGAGAGAGATAAGAGAGTTAGAAACATGAGAGAGAGACATCGATCAGCTGCCTCTTGCACATCCCCTACTGGGGATGTGCCCGCAACCAAGGTACATGCCTTTGATCGGAATCGAACCTGGGACCTTTCAGTCCACAGGCTGACATTCTATCCACTGAGCCAAACCAGTTTCGGCCACTTTACAGAAGATTTTATTTCCTCCTCTTAGTGGCACATCATTTTGGGGACAGCCCTTCAGATGCACCAAAAGACAGTACTTAAAGGAAGTTTTTGTTTATTTGTTTGTTTGTTTTTTAACATGAGGGGGAAGCAGAATAAAGCAAAGGGGGCTAAACAAAGTGTATAGCTTGTCAAGGGAAAAAGCAAAATATCTGGTGAAAAATAAAGGAAGGAATGAAGTGAAGATGGAGATGATGTCACAGGGGAGAAAATGGAGCTGATAGGATTCAACAGCAAATTAATAAAATGCAGAGTAAGTCATCGGGTATAGAAGTTGTAGGTGAAGGGCCTTCCTTTTAGCAAAAAAAAGAGGTAATAGGCAACAACATCTTTTGGTGTACCCCTCCTCCCAACCTCACCCATTCTACCCTCACTGTTCATCAATACTTCCCTCAGGAAAGAATGCCATGGAGTCAATCACACCAAGCTACAAGGGTATTTTATTTTATTTTATTATTTTATTTTTTTTACTGATTTTTAAAAAATATATTTTATTGATTTTTTACAGAGGGGAAGGGAGAGGGATAGAGAGCTAGAAACATCGATGAGTAACATTGACAAGCTGCCTCCAGCACACCCCCTACTGGGGATGTGCCTGCAACCAATGTACATGCCTACAAGGGTATTTTAATAGGGGACAATGACAATAAACCAAAAGAGGATTGAAAAAAAGAAAATTTCAGGCACATTTACTGAATGGAGTGGGACTGGAGAAAGGATAAGCCTTTCTTAGCTTTTTGGTAACTTATATCACACTGGTCTTTAGTTTGTATACTTCTCTAATGCTAAAATGAAAATGAGGCATACCCTGACATCCAGGCATCCCTGGATGAAAACCTCCATGTTGGCAGAAGGGTCCCATCATATACTTGACAAACTGTAGGGAGAGTGTTGTAGCCTATACACTTCACTAGCCATGGATGTTAAGTTTTCCTTACAGAAGCTGAAACTCAAGCCGTAGGTGGTTTCAGTGGATATAGCATTGGCCTGCAGTATGAAGGCTTATAGGTTTAATTCTGGTCAAGCCACATGCCCAGGTTGCGGGCTCGATCACCAGCAGAGGGTGTGCAAGAGGCAGTTCCATCAATGACTCTCTCTCCCTTCTCCCTTCCTCTGAAATCAATAAAAATATATTAAAAAAAGAAAAGAATTTGAAACTTAAGATACTTGTATTTTAAGTCAAAGCCCACTCTCATATTTTCTACCTAACTTTGCCTTATTATTTTTTCCCTTAATATCTCTATCTAAAAAGCAGGAAAATCTCAAGGACAACATGATTCAATTTGGCCAGTGGGAACAAAGTAGAAGAAAAGGAAAATGTGGAAAGGCACAAAAAAGATGGTTTAAAAATATATTTTAAGCCGAGACCGGTTTGGCTCAATGGATAGAGCATCGGCTTGGGGACTGAAGGGACCCGGGTTCGATTCTGGTCAAGGGCATGTACCTTAGTTGCGGGCATATCCCCAGTAGGGGGTGTGCAAGAGGCAGCTGATCGATGACTCTCTCTCATTGATGTTTCTAACTCTCTATCTCTCTCACTTCCTCTCTGTACAAAATCAATAAAATATATTTAAAAAAAAAATATATATATATATATATTTTTTTTTATCGGAATCGAACCTGGGACCTTTCAGTAGCTGGCTGAAATTTGGTAGAACACTGTCTCAAGCGCCAGAAGGTCACTGGTTCTATATATATATAAAATATATATATATATATATATATTTTTTTTTTTTCTTTTTTTTCTTTTTTTTAAGTATTCCCTCCATAGAAAGTCAAGGTAACTATGTTTTGAGTTGGTTACTATTTTGATAACACAGAAATGAACTAGTTGCAGAAGAACAGACATTTTATTGAAAAGAATCATCTCAATTTTAGTGAAAACAGAACAGTATTTACCTTGTCATTTAGAAGTGGTTTGATCTCTGTGAGTTGAACATCCTGAAGTTCATCCATGAGGAAGATGAAAGTAGAGGATTCTCAAAAATAAATCAGTAACTCTGAAACAGAAGAGAAGGAAGTGAAGAAAAAGGCTTAAACTAGCAGTTGGGCCCTGGTCAGGTAGTTCAATTGGTTAGTTGCAGGTTCTATCTCTGGTCAGGGCAAATACTAGTCAACCAATGAATGTATAAATAAATGGAGCAACAAATCTCTTGTCTGTTTTTTCTTTCTTTTCCTTTCTCTCAATGAAAAATATTTAAACTAGGAGTTGAAATATAATAGTCCCATTACTTCCATTCATTCAAATATTAGAGGTTAGCATGTGTCATGCACTGCTCTGGGTGCTGAAGACACAGGAAACTAGATAGTATGGCAAACAGACTCAAAGTGACATCTATGATCTCTGCCTCCTGATATTCACATTCTAGCATAACCACTGTCTTCCCTGAGGGTGGGCAAGACTTTTATCATTTAGGTCCTTCCAAGGACCCAGAGAATGCCAAACATGAACACTCTTCAAACTATGGACCCCACATGACAATCATAAGCATCCCAAACATTTGTGCCACTTATGTTTTATGATAATTTAACTTTCCTGTGTAGAACATGATTCTTTTTCTCAGATCCCAGGCATCCTATAAACTTGATTAAGCTACTGAATGCTCAAAAGCTGAAATTTTTAGTTTGTTTTTAAACTGATTTTTTAAAAAGTGTTTTTATTGATTTCAGAGAGGGAGAGGGAGATAGAAACATTGGCTGCCTCCTGCACGCCCCCTACTGGGGATTAAGCCCATAACCTGGCCATATGTCACAACTGGGAATAGAACCAGTGACCTTCTGGCGCTTGAGACAGTGCTCTACCAAATGAGCCACATTAGTTTGTTCTCTACATTTCAAAAGGAGATGGCATGGCTTGAATCTTTTATCACAAATTTCAGCCAGCATCTACAATCTCTCTTTTGCAGTGATGCTTTGATCCAGTTAACTCTAAAAACATTGGCCTACCTGTTATCTACTTGTATGTTTATTAATCACACTATAAACTGTGGCTACTTTTCAATTGAACTTCACTGGTTACCAATAATTTAAAATGGAGATTTTACGCCCTTGCTGGTTTGGCTCAATGGATAGAGCGTCAGCCTGCAGAATGAAGGGTCCCAGGTTTCATTCTGGCCAAGAGCACATGCCCGGGTTGTGGGCTCCGTCCCCAGTAGGGGGTGTGCGGGAGACAGCTGATTGGTGGTTCTCTCTCATCACTGATGTTTCTATCTCTCTATCCCTCTCCCTTCCTCTCTGAAATCAATAAAAAAATGTATTTTTAAATGGCGATTTTAAAGTTCTTTTTTCTATTATAAAAGCAATACTATATATGCTTACTTTAGACAATGTGGAAATCACAGAATAATGAAAAGATATTTTACTTTGTCCTTCACAACTACTAAGATTTCATCTATTTCCATTTGTTCTTTTTTCCCATGTAAAATGGTGATTTTTCTGAAAATGTTTTTCCAACCCACCTGCTTTATTCCCTTCTTTAACTCACTCACTTGCAAGCAGAATACTTCAAAATGTTAATAATTCAAAGGTGACTTTATATAAGGCCTTCCCAAGAGCCTTGGGGAAAAAGGGAAAGCCTGAGCTGCCCTCAGGTCCAAAGTGAATGGCATTCACTGTGTTCCCATCCAATTTATAAAGATTAAAAAAAAAAAAAAAAAGTGATGATGTGATGTTTGGGCCAGGACAAACATTTAAATAAAGGCACAAATTAAATAAGAAGGCTGTCCCTATCAGCTTGGTCCAGTGCAGACTTAATGCAGGACAGGAAGCTGCTATAGTGTGACTTAGGAATTGGCAATAAGACAATAGCTGTTCACCTTCCACATTAAAGGGGACCTAATGCATTCTTCTAGAGACTGAATTTTTGCTTAGTTCTCCTTGTTCTGAGCCCTTGCCAATGAACAGTTTTTTAACACCTGTGAGAAAACTAAGACCACATGGTGGAAAATTCCATCTCCAGATTTCCCAGCTACACAGACTGGCTTCCTCCTGGGGACTCTAAAAGCCTGAGGTTCCCTTTGCACAAATGATATGATTGCCAGATCCATCCTGGTACTAAGGGATATTTTTAAAAAGTTAGTAGGGATTTTATAAACTGCAGTAAATAACAAAATGTTAACCCTCTTGCCCAGCTTTATGAGGTAAAGGGAAGACTGAAAAGTAAAAACCAGCCATCCTTGAACTGAAGAAGTAAGCCTGATACCAAATACCCTGTTTCCCCGAAAATAAGACAGTGTCTTATATTAATTTTTGCTCCCAAATATGCGCTAGATCTTATTTTCAGGGGATGTCTTATTTTTCCATGAAGAAGAATACGGTAGACATTTATTGTTGAATAAAAATAAAGGCAATTTATTACCTGTATACGGTACGATAGTATGGTAGTTGTCAACACAAACAAGACAAACTATGAATCCTACAGTATAAATTTACTCATTTATATTCAATGACAATCATGTCATCATCTTCTGGAACATCATCATAACAATCCAATTCCTGAATTTCCTGGTGAATTTCTTGTGACTCCATTTCTTTCAGAATCAGTGGACCAAATCTCTCATGTTTAGCCTAGGGGGGCCTTATTTTCCGGGGGATGCCTTATATTTCACTCAGAAGGAAACCTGTAAGTAGGTCTTATTTTCGGAGGATGTCTTATTTTCGGGGAAACACTGTAGCTAGTGGAAAGAAAAAAAAAAAGGTGTGTGTGTATAAATCCTATACTGTGCCAATAACTATAACCTAAACATCTTACTTTTAATCCTCATAACAGTCTTCTTGGGTAGATATCTTCATTTTTTCAAGTTGAGAAACTTAGGCTTAGAGAGAAGTTAAGATACTTTTCCAATATCCCACATCTGAGTAACAAGGCAAGGATTTAAAAGCATTTGCTTTTACCACTATACCATAATGTCAACACCAGGCTCTATCTACTGGCTATAGAACCCTGGGCAAGTTTCTTCCCCTCTAGTCACAGGGGCACCACCTCCTTAAAGTAGAGGTAATAGAAGCCCAGAGCAATTCTGTAACTCAGATGTCTTAGAATGGAGGTTTGAGTCATCACACCAGCAAAAAGCCCTCAATATCTCAGTAGTTAGCTGAGGATTAGGAGAACGAGTAGGGAGAGAGACAAAATTCCAACTATTACTTGGTAACCAGTTTTAGAAACAATGGCTATGTCTTGCTTGTTGTTAGAACAGTGAGCCTCAAACAGACAATCACCTGGATATCTTGTTCAGGATCTTAGGCATAATCAGCTTTGGGTAATGACAGTCCAATAAGTGACCTAATCATATGAGGAGTGAAGATCATTTGAGTTGAAGAGATGAAGAACATAAAGGCTAGATTATTAGCACTAATCAATCTATAACAGAGATGAGGAGAATGGGACAGAGAAAGACTATTAATTTAATTTTATCCTGCCTTCTTCTAAAAAAGATTTCAGATGGGAATAAAAAAGATTCAACAGCGCCCCTCCCCACCAAAAAAGAAGATTCAACAGACCAGACTAATTAAAAGGGAAATGTACCAGAGAAAGATAGTTTAGTAGTTTAGTGCAGAAATCTAGTTGATGGGGAGTGGAGGAAGTCAATGGGGGAGAAAATACTTTCAACAATAAAGATAAGTTGAAACAAAAGAAAGAATCCAGCTGGCAGGTGAAAAGAGCCTGACCCTGCTATTAAAATCACAGATGTAAAGAAGAAAATCAGGGGTATAAAACTAATAAAAACATTGTGAGGTCAGAGAAGTCAGATTTTGCCAAGATTTTGTAGGGATTCAGAACAAACCACCCCAAGATGTGCCTAAGTAGCACATGGATTATTTCAAGCTCCCCTGACCCCCACTATTTAGGAGTCTGGCCCACATTAAGAGTTATCTCACACACACACACACACACACACACACACACACACACACACAAAGCCCGAGCAGTGTGGCTCAGTGGTTGAGCATCAATGAATGAACCAAGAGGTCACCAGTTCGATTCCTGGTCGGGGCACATGTCAAGGTTGGGGCACAGAGTGAAGTGAGATTTAGTGAGGAAAATCTGTGTAGGTGCTAATGGAGAGCAGAGCTTGCCACCCCAAAATATGCCTCTTTGGGATATTGATTATTTCAGGCTGATTAATTTTAAGAAACAGCAGACAAGGGAAAAGCTCTAAAAACCAAGTAGAAGGACAGTGTAAAAGGACATTTACATCTGTAGAAGGGTACTTCCATCTGTAGAAGTGTTTTCCTCACTATACCATGCCTGCGTTTGCTAACAATGATGAAGACATGGACTTAATTATACAATAATCTTATTCTTATTTATTGTGCTTTGCCAGGTAATTTCCCAGAAGTGACTCTCCACCCCCAATAACTATTGTCTTTAGCTGAAGGCGGTATTTAAGGTGACGGCTTGACGTTTTGGAGAATTACTCATTAGTCTCCTGAGACTCTCCCATGTATACAGGAGGTGTTCATTTTATTAAACTTTGTTTTTCTCCTGTTAATCTGTCTTGTGTCAATTTGATTATTAGGCCAGCCAGAAAGGTAGAAGGAAAATTAGTTTTCCTCCCCCTCAGCACTCACCAAACCAGAGACATGGAAGAGCTGTAGGCCTTGGGTTCTTCTGGAAGACAACTCAGTGACAGAAAAGAAAGCAGAACCAATAAGAACAAAGAAAAAATGCTCAAGAGATGCAAGAGGTAATGCCAAAATACAAAGTCAGAGAAGTGAAGGGAGAAGAGAAGTTTACACGAAAGGGGAGAAAATTGTCAAATACTGGAGGAAAGGAGGAGGGGAGGAAAACTAAGGAGATATTATTTTTGACAGTGGAAGTCAATAGTATTAAAAATCTAGAAAAAATGAGGTTCAGTTCTCCATGCTTAAAAAAAAAAAAAAAAAAAAAGCCCATGACTATTACCTTTTAGAAATACAGAAACTGACATTTCTGAATTTAAATGTAAGCAAAAATGTTCCGGAGTGGCACCAGTGTTCTTTGATACTTAGTACTTGAGAG